CCATCAGGCTTTTCCTGAAAAGCACAGATACTGTGCTCCAGTCTGCAGAGAAGTGCTGTGTGTGCACTTTCCCTCTTGTAAGGATATTAAAAAGACAGTCTTCCTGAGCATCGAGGTCTGGTATAACTTGTAATTTTGTTGTTTCACCCAGAACATTTTCCAGTGAAGGGACCTTCAGGTGAGTGCCCAGTTCAGAAGCACAGAACCGCTGCCAGCTCGGATTCAAAGCATGGACCTGCCAGGCCACCTGTTCCTGCCACTGAACTCTCAGTGCAAGTGTCAGCCCTGTGAAGAAAGAGTAACGCCTTAGTGCTAAGGAAATAGTCTTGACCTCACAGACTCCGGAGAAGGTCTCAGACCCTAAGGGATCCCAGTCCACTTTGAGAAATATGACTTTAGCCAAATGATTATGCGACAAGCCTGATTTCTTTACCCTCCTCCCCTCTTTAGTTTCTAAAACTATATAACACTGTGTTCATTTAAGGGAGGCTTGCTAAGCTTACTGCCAACTCTTTTGCAGCAACAGATGCAATTTAAAAATCAGTAATTGTCATATGAACAACACTTTTGTAATTAATGTAGTATCTGTACAAAGTTACCAAAGTATTTGCAATAACTGAAATTTATGGGAATTTTCAGACATAGAAAATAAGAATAATGTAACATGTATCCACGAAATAAAGTGTTAAATACACAGTTGAAACCACAGTTGATCCTGTTTTCCCTCAGCATCCCTCCAAGAGCTGGTCACCATCTTAGATTGGATGTTAATCTTCACCAAGAAGTTCTATACATTTTTATTATATAATAAATATGTCTCTATCTCCAAGCAAAATTCAATACTGTTAGGAACAAACAGTTCTGTAACATCCTTCTTATGTACTTAAAGTTTCTCTAAACCACACACATGTGTATATCCAAGTTGGAATTCTTCCATTGTTGTGAACACGCATTTTCACATTCACTAGATACTGACAAGCTATTTTCTGAAGGGGTTATTTCAGCTTACACCACCAACAGCAATGCCTACAAGCTCTTTTTTCCTCTACATTCTCTGCAGCATTTGGAATAATGAGATTTTTGGAGAGTTTATGGGTATGAAATGGAATTTTATTATAGTTTAATTTGCATTTCTCTGATTATTAGTGAGGTTAATAATATTTCCAGATTTATTTAGCATTTGTACTTTTCTCTCATTAACCACCTTACAACTCTTAAATTGTTTGTACTGTTTATTATTTAATTTTGGTTGCAGGAATGCTTGACATGTTGGATTTTAATCCTTTGGCCATTTTTGTGGTACAGACATCTTTTTCCATGTGGTGTTTTCTTAAATTGATTATGATGTTCTTTAATGTATAGTTTGTACTTTTAATACAATTGAATTGATCAATTTTTTGTCCTTTATGGTTTGCCTTTTTAAAGACTTCCCTAATAAATCATTTCTTACTGAAAAGTCACAAAATATCTCCCTATATTTCCTTATGAAAGTTTTAAAGATTTATTTTCCACAATCAAGTTTGACTCACCAAAATTTTATCTTTGGGTATCATGTGAGTTGGGAGATAATTTTATTTTATTTCCATGTGAACATCAAATTTCCCAGATCATCATTAAATTCTTTCTCTTTGACCTGAGGTACCACCTCTATCCTCCATTAAGTCTGTGTATTTGGAGAACTCTTCCTGAAAAGAATAAGTTCTGTAGCTCTTGGGTGAAGTGCTTATTACATTCCATGGGTCAAATTGTTCGATGAGGCTGTTCAAGTTCTCCTCATCTTTACTGATTTCTGTCTGCTTGTTCCATCTGTCATGACAGGTGATCATCAACCCTCCGACTATCTTTATGAGTCTGACCTTTCACATCTTCCAGTTCTTACCTCGTGTATTTAGATTTGTCACAGTTTCAAGAATATTCCTGGCAACATTCTTCATTCTGAAGTCTATTTTGTCTGGCATTAATATACCCACTGAAGAAATATCGATAACCTCAGATATGCAGATGACACCACCCTCATGGCAGAAAGTGAAGAAGAACTAAAGAGCCTCTTGAAGGTGAAAGAGGAGAGTGAAAAAGTTGGCTTAAATCTCAACATTCAGAAAACTAAGATCATGGCATCCAGTCCCATCACTTCATGGCAAATAGATGGGGAAAGTGGAAACAGTGTCTGACTTTATTTTTCTGGGCTCCAAAATCACTGCAGATGGTGATTGCAACCATGAAATTAAAAGATGCTTACTCCTTGGAAGGAAAGTTATGACCAACCTAGACAGCATATTAAAAAGCAGAGACATTACTTTGCCAACAATGGTCCATCTAGTCAAGGCTGTGGTTTTTCAGTGGTCATGTTTGGATGTGAGAGTTGGACTGTGAAGAAAGCTGAGCGCCGAAGAAATGATGCTTTTGAACTGTGGTGTTGGAGAAGACTCTTGAGAGTCCCTTAGACTGCAAGAAGATCCAACCAGTCCATCCTGAAGGAGATCAGTACTGGGTGTTCATGGGAAGAACTGATGCTGAAGCTGAAACTCCAGTACTTTGGCCACCGGATGCAAAGAGCTGACTCATTTGAAAAGACCTTGATGCTGAGAAAGATTGAGGGCAGGAGGAGAAGGGGACGACAGAGGATGAGATGGTTGGATGGCATCACTGACTCAATGGACATGGATTTGGGTGAACTCCGGCAGTTGGTGATGGACAGGGAGGCCTGGCGTGCTGTGGTTCATGGGGTCACGAAGAGTTGGACACGACTGAGCAACCGAACTGAACTGAACTGAACAAGTCCTTGTTATTAGAGTTTACATGGTATCTCCTTTTAACATTCTCACTTTCGCTCTATGTTTATATTTAAAGTGCATTTCTCTTGAACAGATTATAGTCTGGTCTAGATTTTTATCCAGCCTGACAGTTTTTGCCTTTTCTTTGAAGTGTTTAGACCATTTATATTTATTATAATTATCAAATTAGCTCTACTTCTGTTTTAACTCCAATTTTTTAGCTAAAAGTTTAACTTGCTTTAAGACATTTAAAAATATTAGCATTTCATAGTTATCCACAGAGTGGCCATTTCTGGTTCTGCTTGCTCCTCTATGTGGACCTGAGTATTTACAGTGGCCTCTGGGCATCTGCCAGGTACCTTCACGCAGGCTGCCACCTTCACGACAACATGTAGCCATGGGGATACTGTCCTCATCCGCAGACATGCAGGCTGAGGTTCAGGGACACTGCAGGAGTTCCTGGTCCCTAGAAAGCCAGTTGGGGCTGGAACCCAGGTCCTTTCACCCATCAGCTCCTGTTTTCTGTGGGGAGAAGGAGCATCAGCAGTGAGGCTCAGACTTCAGAGGTGAGGAGGGTGGGCAGTCCCTCCCATCACAGACAGACCACCTGCATTCAGGTGAGCTCATCCCATGGGAAGGGGTGCTGGGGGAGGGCAGGGGCTCCTGGCCATGCTGAAGGGCAGAGGGCCACTGGAGGGAACAGTACATCCCAGAAGAGACAGAAGAGAGCTGGGGTGGATGGACAGGCAGGAACAGCCAGGAGAGTCCCCCTCCCGCCCAGGCCAAGGGGCAGGAAGACACAGAGAGTCTGGGCGTGTCTCAGAGCGCCCGTGGTACCCTGGGGCCAGAGTGGAGGGGTCTGCAGGCCAGAAGGGAGACAGGAGGAGGTGCAGAAAAGTGTGGGTGCAAAGGCGGTGAGCTCACGGACCCCGGAGAGGCCCACGCCCTGGGCAGGCCCTTGTCCTTGGCTTTGCGCTTCCTCGGGCCTGAGGCCGTGCCCCTGCAGGCCGCACTGAGGGTCCAGGGCATGGCACAGCCCCTGCCGGTCACCACTGCCATCCTCGCTGGCGGGCTCCCCGCTGCAGCCTGCCTCTCCCTGCCATCCCCCTGCAGTGGGGCTCTGCAGGTGCTGAGGTCTCCGGGAGCCACTGAAGCCGGGGAGGCCCAGACCCAAATGCCAGGCCCTTTGGTGACAGGCCACACGAACGGTGATAAGAGCCACCTCCCCGGGACTGCAAAGACTCACAGAGAGGGCCTGTGTGTGGACAAAACTGCCCCTTCCGAGGCTCCTTCTCTGCAGCTCCCAACAAGGGGACACGGCACGGCCTGCGACTGTGTTCTGAGCCAGGGAGAGGGCACGTGCGCTGAAGGTGTCACCGGCAGTCTGCCACTCAGACCCGGAGGTGGCTGGGGGACAGCTGCTGCTTAATCAGGCTTTTATTGAAAAAGGTAGCTCACTTCTGCTTCGGCGATATACAGATTAATGGAAAATAGCGGGGGAAGGCCATACACGCGACCCCTGTGGCCGCCGCCCCTCAGGCTCAGGGCGCGTGGGGTGAGTGGGGTGCTGAGCAGGGGTGGGAGCGCATTGTCCAGAGGAAGGTGTGACCATGTGCGTGCTCTCAGAAGGCCGTGGGCTGGGAGGAGTTGCCTGGGGCCCACGGGCGAGGGTCGGGGCTTCCCCTCTGTGGGAAGCTTCTAGGTGGAGCTGAGTCCCACCGTCTGCAAGGCCGAGCGTGGGGACACGTGAACTGAGGCTGACCAGCAGGCCCCTAATCCTTTCTGTTGTTGTTGAGTTGCTCAGTCATGTCCGACTCTCGGCCACCCCGTGAACTGTAGCCCACCAGGCTCCTCTGTCCATGGGATTCTCTAGGCAAGAAGACTGGAGTGGGCTGCCATTTCCTCTTCCAGGGGATCTTCCCTCCCAGGGATCGAACTGGCATCTTCTGCATTGGCAAGCGCGTTCTTTGCCACTGAGCCATCAGGGAAGCCTTTGCTTTCTGGCAGTTAGGAGAACAAATGTCTGTGCCCAGCAGGCCCTGGGGCCAGCTAATGAGAAGGAGAGGAGGCCTGGTCGGCTGTACGGGGCTGGAGAGCAGCCCACCCAGGACACGGCTCCTGGTCCTGGAGCTGAGGCTGCCATCCTGGCCCCACCGGCCGGGCCTCGAGACCCCGAGAGCGGGACCTGGTGATCTCCGTGGCTCCTTTACTCCGGTGTTTATTTACCTTCCAGCCCAGCGCACTGGAGCTGGCTTCTCCCGGGGCCCCTGCCCGCTCCCCGAATCCTGACGGCCCCCATGAGGGGGCCCAGCCGCTCCCAGACGGCTGCAACCCCGCTCCTCCGCTCTGCGGCACTTGCTTCACTTCTCACGTCGTTTTCAGCACCGCACAGCCCTTCCACGGGAAGCCCTGGGCCTCCTGGTGAGGCAGTGGAGGGAGGCGGCTTGAGAGATGACCCAGCTCGGGCCTCCTGGCGCCAGCTGTCGCGAACGGTTGTCTGTGGGCCTCGCCACCCGTGTCCACACAGCCCCATAGGCCTCCCTGCTTCTCAAGTGGGATTTCACGGTAAGCCCTTCACCGCTGCCTGTCCGGAGGACCTGGGTCTCTTGTCTGCTGTCACTTCTGCCCGTGCCAGCAAGTTCCATCCTGGCCCGTTGCCGTCTGCCCTAGCCAGCTGGCAGGAGGCAGGCTATGGTTTCCTGATGTTCCCACTGCAGACCAGACCCGGGAGGGCACGCGTGTGGACAAGGGTGAGACCAGGGGCTGGCTCCATCCTGCCCCCCGCACCGCTGTCAGAGCTGCCGCGCGGAGACAAGGCAGGGCTGTCTCTGCTCGGGGCCTCCAGGTTCCGAGGGCAGAGGCCGCGGGGCCTCTGACCTTACCCAGAAAGTTAGCCTTGACTGGGATCCATCTGAGGGCCGGAAACCGCTGACACGTGCTCCGCGTTCATGGCCGAGCTCAGAGGGTGACGCGCTTTTTACTGCGCCGCCTCCTTTGGTTTCTTTCCCCCAGCTGCCCCAGAACATCCCTCTCCAGGGCCGGGCCCAGAGAGCTTAGATCAGGTACTCAAGGCCACAGAGCGGGCCAGGGGCCAGGCTCCATTTCCCGCAGGGTCGGATGGGGAACCCCGCCAGGAGGAAAATCGGGGGGAAGACTCACGATCACTGCGCCCTGGGGGACCAGCGGCTCCAGCTAACTGACGTGCACGGAGGAGACTCTTGCGTGACGGCGGGGCGGGTCTGAACGCAAGCTGGCGGCTGAGCTGAGCTGGGTGGACGGCAGGGGGCGTCGGTCCAGGCGGGGTGCTGGGAGCAGGCTATGGGACCTGAGATGCTGGAGGCTCGGGGAGGGTGGGGGCGGTGAGTCCGCCACCCCGAGCTGGGAGCGTTTCTTGGGCACTGGGGGTGATGGGTGGCCTTCTGCTCTTCTTTCCGACTGGACTCAGGGGCTCATCTGGACGCCCGGGGCCGCACGTGGGGCCTCCTGGTGGGCCTCTCCCAGCGCTGCCCCGGCTCTGCCCTGGCTCCTCCGGCTGACCTCTGGCTTCTGGCGTTTCACCCCTAGACTCTCTGCGGTCCGTTCTCGCGGGCAGGTTTTCAGACCGTCAGCCCCCTGCCTCCTGTGGGGTCCAGCCAGGGCTCGTCATCAAAAGGCTGAGGAGTGCCGGTCGGGCATCGTGTAGACTGTCCCTCGGTTTGGGTTGGCCCGATGTTTTTTCTCAGGGTCAGCCACATGGAGCGGCTTTGACAAGGGACTGCAGGCTTAGCTGCTCAAAACAATAGCAGTTTATTGTCTCTCTGTTCCAGAGGCCAGAAAGCTGAAATGAGACTTGTGGGCAAGACTGCAGAGTGTCCTTCAGTGGGAGGGTCTAGTAGACCCGGGGAGGGTCTATTCCCTCCTCTTCCATCTGCTTCTGGAGGGCCACTGGCGCTCGTTGGCTTGTGGCCGCGTCCCTCCAGTCTCCATCTGTGTGGTCCCCTTGCCTCCTCCTCTCAATCCCCCTCCCTCTTATAGCGACCCTTGTGATGACACTGGACCCGCCCAGATAACCCAGACTGTCTCCCCAGCTCGAGACCCTTAAGCTAGTCACACCTGCAGAGTCGCTCTGCCACAGGTTCCGGGGTTCAGGATGTCAGTGAGTCTGAGGTCCCTGTTTAGCTGGTCCCACCAAGCTCCGTCCTGCCCCAGGGCCTGTGTGGTGCCCTGCTGGAGCCGGCGCTTTGGTGGAGGGCTTCACGGGGGAGGCGCTGTTTGGACACTCAGGGGTCAGTTGACCTGCGTGTTTCTAATTCCCCAACTGAGACGCTGACTCACGACTTAAACCATCGTACTTGGCGTTACTAGAGTGACCGCAATGCTGGGGGTCTTCAGGGCTGGCTGTCCTGGGAGCTGTGCCAGGTCCACGTCCAGGTTACGGAGTCGCCTGTGTAGCCTGGACCTTGCGTGGCCATCTTTCTCTCCTCCGACGGTCTTCTCCTTGGATGCAGACCCCTCCATCTGTTTTCACTCACCGCTGTAGCCCCAGGCCTGGCACGCTGAGGATGCCAGATAAACATAGGGAGGACAAACAAACTGCCTCCTCTCCAGTCATTTGAGCTAAAGCTAATACAAAATTAGATCTATGCAAAGCTGCCAAAAATTGTTGTTCAACTATTCTTGCAAATTTCTAATACCCTGAGGCTGGTACATTAAAAAAAAATAATAATCAAGGACGTTGTTTCTTCACCCTGTAATCCTTGGTTTGTCAAGGAAAATCAGCAAAAAAAAACCTCTCTGAAGCACAGTTTAGTTAACTGAGGGCCTCCTCTCCAGACTCGGACTAGTGAAGGCAGGTCAGGGCTGATAGATGGAGTGGAATGAAGAGGGACACACCCTCCTGGACCTCAGAGCAGGACTCGGGTTTGGAACAAGGGTCTCTGCAGATGTATCAAAGGTAAGGCTCATTCCAGGGCGACCCAGGGGTCCTAAGTCAACGACCTCTTTTCTGATGGGAGAGAGGATGACGGAGGCCCCAGGGGCAGGTGTGAGGCAAAGGCAGAGGGAGGGAGGGGTTAGCCTAGTGGCCGGTGAGCTCCTGGAGCCCCAAGGATGGGATGGTCACCGAGGCTCTTCCCTGGGGCCTCCGGAGGGAGCAAGATTCTGCCCAAAACTTGACCTTGGACATCCGGCCTCCAGAACTGTGGGAGGAGAAACCCCGGTCTGTGGTGGTCTCCGGTAGCACCCCCGGGAGACCCATGCAGGAGACGAAAACGGAGACCCGAGAGGGCCGTGGCCTCCATGGGACCCCCCACCCACGTTTCCCCAGGCGGAAGGGCCTGGTCAGCCCATGGAAGAGGACGGGGCTGCGGGCCTGGCAGACCCTGTCAGGATGCTCTGATCCATCTGAACATCCTCACGTCCACGCTCGCTGGACACACAGGCCGTGGGTGACGAGGCTGCTCTCACAGCGGCGACCTTGTTCAGCAGCAGACGGGGGCCAGACACGTGCGCAGGTGGCCCACCTCTTCCGAGCTTCTGGTGGGGGGTCTCGGGCATGCTGCACTTATTTGCTGTTTAAAGTGTGAGGACATAAAGCCATGTTCAAGCAAGGGAAGAAGTGTCTAAAACCGCGTGACTTCGGCAGTTTGGTCCGTCTTGGAGAAGTGAGGTGGGGGGCTGGAGCGGGAAGGGGTGAACTGGGGGGGAGTCCACGGGTCACAGGGAGCTGTGTCCAGGGTGGGACACGAGAATGGCCCAAGGAGGGAAAAGGGGACGGAGCTGGGGGCACCAGGGGAAGGCGGGGAGAGCTGGAAGTGAGGGGAGGGGTGGAAAGAGGGAGACGGTCAGAGAAGGCAGGAGCAGGTGGTTGAGGGCCAGGCGAGCAGGAGGACGGGGCCGGAGAGAAGGGGAAGCGGGAGGTGCCGGCTGAGAGCGAGCCGGAGCTGCCCGCCCACCACCCCCTCCCAGACCTGGCCCGGCAGGCCCAGTGCCCCCTTCCCATCCTGGATCAGGGGCAGAAGCCCCCAGCCCCACCCCTCCCTCCCGCCCACTGAGACCTCCAGCTCTAGTTTCCATTGCACACCATCACGACCCTTTATCTTTAGATCCTGCTTGCTCCCAAAAGCACAAACATCCTTTATCAGAGAGTCACTCACTACTTATAGATTAAAAAAAAAAAGTTTAATTTAGAATAGTTTTATATTTACGGCAGAGTTGCAAACACAGTACAGGGAAACCCCATGTACCCTACACTCGTTTCCCTTTTGTGAATACCTTACCTGCAGGATGTATTTACCACAGTTCAGTTCAGTTCAGTCGCTCAGTCGTGTCCGACTCTTTGCGACCCCATGGACTGCAGCTCACCAGGCCTCCCTGTCGATCACCAACTCCCGGTATTTACTCAAATTCATGTCCATTGAGTTGGTGATGGCATCCAACCATCTCATCCTCTGTTGTCCCCTTCTCCTCCCACCTTCAATCTTTCCCAGCATCAGAGTCTTTACAAATGAGTCAGCTCTTAGCATCAGATGGCCAAAGTATTGGAGTTTCAGCTTCAGCATCAGTCCTTCCAATGAACACCTAGTACTGATCTCCTTCAGGATGGACTGGATGGATCTCCTTGCAGTCCAAGGGACTCTCAAGAGTCTTCTCCAACACCACAGTTCAAAAGCATCAATTCTTCAGCGCTCAGCTTTCTTTATAGTCCAACTCTCACATCCATACATGACTACTGGAAAAACCGTAGCCTTGACTGGATGGGATGAACACATCCTGAAGCAACTGTCAGTGACTCAAGTCCACACTTCATGCAGGTTTCCTCAGTGTTTCCCCAAGGTCCTCTTCCTCCTTTTCCAAGACCCTATGTAAGATTCCACGTTTATTCATGGTGTCTGTTTAGACTCTTCTTCACTGTGAGAATTTCTCAGACTTCCCTTCTGTTTTGATAACCATGGAAGTGTTCAGGACAGTCGGTCAGGAATTTTATATGTAGTCTTTCTGTTTGAGTTTGACGTTTTTCTCATGGTCAGATCAGGACTGAAGGTTTTGGGTAGAAGAGCCACAGAAGTAGAGAGCTGCTCTCTACTGTGTTACTCATGTGTTCCTAAAAACAGAAACGCCTGGTCAGAAAGCATGCACTTTGTTTCTGCCTTCCGTGTCTCTTCACAAGTGTCTCCCTGCAACGTTGCATTGGTTCACACATCCGCGCGGAGGCGTCGTGCTGGTTCACACATCCGCATAGGGCAGGAGGGTTTCCAGGACAGACTCATTAGCAGGTGGTCAGTCTTCCATTATCTCTGTCTGCAGAAGAGATTTTCAAAGAGCATGTTTGATTTTTAACGTGTTACTTTGTATTTCATTTTAGTGATTTTAAATTATTTTATGTATTTATCGCCATTTATCCATGTCCTTTGCCCTTTTGCTATTAGGAAACTTTCCTTTTTATAATTTCTTTGCAGAAGAGAATCAACATGCTAAAAGTCTTATAGAAAAATAAGAAAATATATGGGCTGAATATTAAAATATATTAAAGAGAAAACATAGGGTTTTTGAAATAAGGCTCAAAGATTGACGGGCTTCCCAGGTGTCTCAGTGGTAAAGAATCCACCTGCGAATGCAGAGGATGTGGGTTTAACCCCTGGGTTGGGAAGATCCCCTGGAAAAGGGAAGGGCAACCCACTCCGGTACTCTTGCCTGGAGTCAGAGGAGCCTGGTGGGCTACAGTCCCTGTCGCCGCAGAAGAGTCGGACACAACTTAGCGACTAAACAGCAAGAACACAGAGATGGAAAGGGAAGCCAACAGCCTGCTTTCCCATTAGTTAGTTCTGCTTCCATTTCAAAGTCTGACAGGAAGTAAATGAAGTAAGGACAAGTTAAACAGAACTACAGTGAACAGAGGCTTGGCATCTGTGTCAGACACAGCAAGTTCATCGCTGAAGAGGTGGCGTTGGTGACGGAGGCCAGGCTCCTCACCCCTTCCTGGTGAGGGACTGAGTCCCTCTTTCTGCTGGGGACCAGAGCATCATCACGGGCAGGGAAAGTGGCCAAGCAGATAGATGCCTACGAGGCTGGAGGGACGACTGGTCACCCACGCCGGGGGTCTCCTCCCCTGCACCCCCAGAACAAGGCGTGGTCCCTGTGAAGGGGGAGCAGGGAGTAGGCAAGGGTCTGCTACCCTGGAGAGGACCCTTCTCGGCACAGAAACATGGAAGAACAATAAGAAAATGATCAAGACGTCTCACTTATGTAAATGTAAAACTGCGCGCACACACACGCACACACACACACACACACACACAAAGGGAGTCTGCTGAGAAAGGCCTTCCAGCCAGGCCTCCAAGATGCAGAACACCTCGGCCCTGGGAGGATGCTCACTGACAGGGATCACTTGCAGGCGCATGTAGGGGGGTCGCCCACGGCGAACTTCGGGCGGCTGTTCAGATGGGCCTGCGCCCCAGGGTCCCTCCCAGCCCACTCCCTCCCCTGCCCGGGTTGCCCCGCCCCGGTGACCCCAGCGGCCACTCTGATGCCTCCTCACCACGTGCAGCCCCTACCAGCCAGCCTCCCCCTCCCCTCCCTGCGTCAGCTTCTCTACAGACTCATTAGGATCCGACATCACTGTTTTTCTCATTTATTGGTTTCCTGTCTGCCGCTCCCCCTGGAAACGGAACTGCCCGCGGGCAGCCGGCTTGAACCCTTCTGTTCACAGTTGTCTCTCTGGCCCTCGGGGTGCCTGGCACACAGGACATGCTCAGGAGTGTTTGTTGAGGGCACATGCAACCCCACGCGACCACAGGCATCACAGTCCCCCAGCGGGAGGAGGGTTCAGGCTGCAGGCAGCTCCCTGGGAGAGGGGCTGGAGGTCACCATCTGGGCTGGTCTGGGACCCCAGGGCTGGGAAAGCCGGCCTTGCTTGTGCCAGCCTGCCTGCCCTTCCTGGCAGCACCAGAGCACCAACCCCCCGAATCCTCTGGCTGAGATGTTTCACCCAGATTCTGGTCTAAGGGGGCAGTCCAGGAGGCCTGCAGCAAAGCAAGAGTCCCTGGGAACAGTCCTCAGGGCCCCGCTATGCTGTTTTTTCTTGTGTGTTTTTTTTTAACTTCTTGGCTCTGTTTTAATGCTTTCTACTGAAGTGTAAGTGATCTACAAAATTTCAGGGGTACAGCAAAGTGATTCAGTTACGTGTGTGTGTGTGTGTGTGTGTGTGTGTGCACATGCACACATGTGCACTCACTCATGTTTGACTCTTTGCGACCATATGGACTGTAGCCCGCCAGGCTCCTCTGTCTGTGGGATTTTCTAGGCAAGAATACTGCAGCAGCTTGCTATTTCCCTCTCCAGGGGATCTTCCTGACCCAGGGACTGAACCCACGTCTCCTGTTTGGCAGGCAGGTTCTTTACCACTGAGCCACCTGGAAAGCCCCATATACATACACAGTTTTTTAGATTCTTTTCCATTTTAGGTTACTGCAAGATATTCCGTATAGTTCCCTGTGCTATACAGTAAATCCTGTTGCTTACTTTATATGCAGTTGTCTTACCTGTTAATCTCACGTTCCCCATTGATCCCTCCCCTCTTGCCCCCTTGGTAACCACGTGTCTGTTCTCTGTGAGTCTGTTTCTGTTTTGTGAATAAGTTCATCCGTGTCCTATCTTAGATCACACGAGGAAGTGACATCATACAGAGTTTGTCTCTGTCTGCCGTACTTCGCTCAGCATGACAGCATCTAGGTCCAAGTGCTGGTGCTTTGGGGTTTAGTGTCCAGGCCACGGGCGTCGGGAGTGAGAGGACACAGCTGTTCATGTCTAGGCAGAGCATGGCCTCCGCTGGCTGTGCTGTCCCTTCAGCCAGAGCCGAATCTACGGGGCTAGAAGCAGGCGGGCCAAGTCGGACGCTGTCTGCCCCTCCCTGGCCCTCCTGCCCCGAGATGGAGTCCTGGGTGTGCATGTGTGTGTGTGCAAGCACAGTCATTTAGAAAGCATTTGGAAAGTGGGGGACAGCTCACAGAGCAGCAACATTTCTGCTAAAAGCAAGACCAGTGTAAACACCAAAGCCAAGAGGAAACGCCTTTGCTCAGAGGGATCGCTGGGTGGGGATGAGACCTACATGCCTGTTGGCCCCGGATGCAGTCACACAGCCTCTGAACTGGAGCTCCAGGACCCCCAGAAGCCTGCATCACCCCTGCCCTGCTTCCCGCCTGGCCCTGCACTGGGTTCAGTGAAAGGCGAAGGCCCGGCCTCCGCATCTGAGGTGGACACCCCTGCAGTTGAGGGAAGAGGCGCCCTGTCCTTCGTAGGCTCCAGAAAGACCTGGTGAACCTAGACGTTACACCAGAGACCTGGTGACTGGTTTTCATCCAGCATCATAGTTTCATAAGCAAGCTGACATTTGCCAGCTGGCTGTTCATTTCTGCTCTTGCCTGTTAATGTCACATCCAATTCCCTGATCCAGCATATGGCAGGTTTGACCCGGGCCAGAGGCATCTTCGTGGAGGCTAAACCTACCCAGATGGGAGTGGACACTGACCATTTCCCCCTAAATGTATCCAGATCAGTTTCTGAGGCCTCCTTTTTACTCGCTAATTCTGTTTTTGGTTTGTGGATTTTATTTGACTTTCAGATGAATTTCATAATTGCTCTAATGGAGAACTTGAAAACGTTAAGCGGAGCAGCTCTGTGTTGCCCCTGGCCATCCCAATGCTGCACTTGAGCTATTCTCTCCGAAGCCACGAGTGTGTTTTGAATCAAAACTGCCTGCCCGGGCTGCCAAGAGGTGGGTTAAGAGATGATTCTCTTGTTTTTTTGGGCACCATAGAAGCAGAGCGGCCCTGACCTGGCCAGGCGGGCTCGGCCATCCACGGACATACCAGAGTTTCGATGCTCAGATGGACTTGACCTCTCTGGGCCCAGGGAACCGCCCACTGGGACTGTTTTTCTCTACAGAAAGGAGGAGATACTCTCCCGGGCCGTGTCCTTGTATCCAGATCCTGCCCCTGCCTCCCTAGTGCTGGGCCTGCCTGTGGGGCTTCAACATCGCCCAAGTTGTACCTGAGCCAAAGGAGGGCATGGGCGGGTGGTCGGGGTCCGGTGGGGAGGGTGGACTCAGGAGCCGGAGCCCTGGGTCCCTGCCTGCCTCCCATTGGTCCCTGGCAGCCCTGGGCTGCCTGAGTCTCTGGTTTTACATCTGGAAAAGGGGTCTGTTTCCCAGGGCAGAGGTATCAGTGTGGCAAATGCTCATCAGCACCAGCCAATGTAATAAAAAGAGTCACACGGTAACTGATGCTGAGACACGATGTTGCCAAAACCCCTTTACCTCCTGCTCTCCCGCCATCCCCAGCGGCTCTGCTCTGCCCAGGGAAACCGAGCTGGGCCCGCTGGCTGCCCTCGGCCCCAGGTGACAGCTGCAGAGCTGGGGTCATTTCAAGATCTCCACCAGCCTGGCCGGGCTCCCAGGGGCCCGACATGCCCCAGAACCAGACCTGGGGTGAATGCCCGGGGTCCTCTCTGAGGGCTGCGGGCCTGGGCCCCATGACGGGGTGAGGGTGCCGTCAGGAGGAAGGGGGTGAGAGCTGAGGGGTCTGCCTCTCAGGAGTGAGGGCTTTCCTCCATGGAACCACGTTTTCTCTACCATCCAGACTGACAGTGTCGAGTGGGGTGGAGCGGGGCAGACCATTCAGCAAGGTAACTGGGATGTGAGACCACTGCCTGCCAGCACAGGTGTCACCGCAGCCCTAAAGCATGACTCCAAGACTTGAAGATGCTCTTGGTTTCAGGACACAGCCCTGAGGATTTTCCAGGGAAAAATGTATCCCCAGCAGAAACATGGCACCATGAATTATACATACTAGTGTTAAGGCACATTCAGGGCTACAAAAATAAGAAAGGCCTGTGTGTTTTCACACCGGGGCAGCGGATACACCTGTGGCAGGTAGATGTCTGCGGAGAAGATGTGTCCTGGTCTTGCCTTGGGCTGTTGCAGATGTTGGGAAAACACTGGGGTTGCAACTTGGGCAAAGCTCTGTGGATTAGAGGGGCTCTGGTGGGGAATACAAAGGGGTGAAGGAGAGTCCTGCAACCTGGACTTGGAAATGGAGGTTTGAGTGGTGGCTCTGCTAGGAGTGGGCTTCTCTGGCGGCTCAGACAGTAAAGAATCTGCCTGCAATGCAGAAGACCCAGATTTGATCCCTGGGTTGGGACGATCCCCTGGAGGAGGGCATGGAACCCGCTCCAGTACTCTTGCCTGGAGAATCCCATGGACAGAGGAGCCTGGTGGGCCACAGTCCATGGGGTGGCAAAGAGTCAGACATGACTGAGCGACTGAGCTCACCTGCTGGAAGTAGCCAGCCCTGCGACCCCCGGCCCCTTATCAGCAAACAGGACTTCAAAGTGCACTTCTCAGGGCCTCTGAGGGCACAGGGCGGCCAGGACGTGGGGGCCATGAGCACAGGCCAGCCTCCAACCGGCGCACTCACGGGAAGGCAAGCAGAGACGCTCTGGTCCCAGCCTGGGAGCTGTGGAGCGGTTCCCCCAGGAAGTCTGGCGGAGGCAGGTCTGCAGAGGTGAGTAAGGAGCCCCTGCTGGTGGTGACGCTCTGCTGCCCAGCCACGAAGCAGCGCCTTTCCGTCCCGTTTTCAGAAGGACTCTCAAGCGTTTCCAGAACTGGATTCCAGCTGCAAAACCCAGCCGGCCCTGCAGAAGGCCAGGCGGTTGCCAGCACCTCTGGAACGGGAAACGCGCTGACCCGTCCAGGGTTTCCATTCAGATTGGACTCAGGCCCTGGTCTCAGTCCTGATCCAGAACTGACGGAAGCACAGGGCACACCTCCCTGGGAGAGGCCATGCCTGGCCGTGTGGGCTGGGGGTCTCAATCGGTGGATGGGGAGGCCACGGGTGGGCCACCAGTGACCCCACACCGGTGCTGCCAGGGTCTGAGTGGGCCAGCCACTGCCCCTGTCAGGGAGGTGCTCTGGACTCCAGGAGTGGGAGCTCGGAGCCCCCCAGGGCGGGCACACAGCTTCCGGCCTGGCCCAGCTGGGGAGGACTTTGTAATGACCACCCACTGGGGGAGCAGGAGCTCCAGGAAGATTTAAGTGTCCTCTGCTCACGTGGCCATGGCATTTCTGAGGCTTCTCCACTCTACCTGGAGAGGAGGAAAGAGCAGAACATTCATGGAGAGATTCCAGGAAAAAGTTCATTTCAGTTCTTAACACATGACGCCTTGAGAAAGGAACTGCATTCCAGCCAACTGCTCCCCATGGAGCGACCCCCACCCAGAGCGCTAGCAACCAACTCTGAATCTACATGAATCCACCCTGTCCCAGCATGGAGAAGGTCTGCTCAGGGCCACCCCCAGGCCCAGGAGAGGCCCTGGGTCCCCTGCCGCCTGGGGTGCTGGCTGCTGAAGGAATTGCTGAAGATTTTGTGCCTGCCCCCGCTTAGGGGGCAGACAGCAATCCAGAGAAGGCTGACGTGGAGGCAGAAAGCCCCAAGCCACCCCCGGCCCAACCCGGGGACAGTCCTGCCCAGCCTCATGGCAGCCCCTGCCCCGCCCCACGATTAACTAATAAATGAACTCCTGCTGCAGAACCTAAGGGGAGGACCCATACCACCCACCCTGATTGTTTATTTTTAAATTAATTTCCAAAGAATAGGGACGCATCCTGACGTGCACCCTCTGCCCAGTCCTGCCCAACCCGGCTCCCCAAGCGGTGCCAGCCCCTCCTGGCAGACAGGGACGGGCTGCCTGGAGCCTGGCACCCGCGCCCACGGCCGGGCTGCGGGGAAGTCCCGGGTGGGCACCGCAGGTGTGTGCCCGCAGGGACTCGGCGCAAAGGAGGCATTGTGAGGCGCGGCTCTTGGCGCCGCCCGCCAGCCCGCCCGCCCGCGCGCCCGCCCGCCCGCGCGCGGCACTTGTCAGGTGCTGGCGCCGTGGAGGCCCGGCTTTGAGTGTCAGCTTGGCCCCGCTCGTGGAATGTGGGAACGGGCACTGTTTCTCAACGGTTTCTGGGAACGCCTGGCTCCGTGCCTCCGCACCCCTCCTGCCAAGCGCGTGGGCGCTGCTCTTGTCTCCCCACTGCCAGGGCCATCCGGTGCCCAGAGCTCCCCCACATCCGTGGGCAGTCATAGCCATGGGGCCTGCCTGCAGGCGCCTCAGAGGAGCCCCCAGAGGCTCATCCTGAGTCACGTGGGCCTGCAGGAGCCCTCCAGATCACCCGTCTGTGTCCCAGGTGGGCTCACCCATCTGGGTCCTGGGTGGGCTCACCCGTCTGGATGCCGGGGCGGTCACCTGTCTGGACCCTGGGCGGGATCAGTGACCTGTCTGGGTCCCGGGTGGGGTCACCAGTCTGGGTCCCAAGTGGGGTCACCCATCTTGGTCCCAGGTGGGGTCACCTGTCTGGACCCTGGGCGGGATCAGTGACCTGTCTGGGTCCCGGGTGGGCTCACCTGTCTGGGTCCCCAGGTGGGCTCACAGTGTGGACCCTGGGCATGATCAGTGACCTGTCTGGGTCCCGGGGGGGTGGTCACCTGTCTGGGTCCCAGGGGGGTCACATGTCTGGGCCCCTACAGTGTGACTCTTCGGTTAGCTGCCCAATAGCTAGGTCCTCTCCCAGCTGACTCTGGTAAGTCCTCCTCACATGGGACTGGGAGGTGAGTCTGACCTTGGCCCACAATGTCAGATAACCCCCAAGGGGCCTCTTGGACCCAGGGGACAGGCCACCCTGCGCTCCACCTACCACAGGGACTCGCCCGTTCATCTCCTCTGCATCCTGGGTCCCCTGCACCCAGAGGCAGGCCTGGCCCAGGATTGGGCTGGGTGAGTCCAAGCCTGTAGGTGACAGCGCGTCAGAGCCCAACCCCACGGCCTGGCCAGGCGGATGCTGTACCCGGAGACAGTCAGCCTCTGGGCAGCGGTGCTCAGCGGGGAGACTCATGTGAGGAGTCGCTCGCTGGGGAGGGGTCCGGTGGGAGCAATCACAGCGTCTCTTCTCAGCAGGGGACGTCCTCCAGGGACTTGGACCCAGCTGTGGGCCTGGCCAAGCAGATAGGAACCAGTGCTGCCCCCAGCCCAGACAGCCGTTGGCCAGGTGGACCCTAGTGGGGAAGACAGCCTTGGGGCCTTCTATGGTCTCCAAGCTAAGGGAGGTCCCAGAGGAGCATCTGACCCCATCCCAGGGACAGGAAGTCTCCACCGAGGGGTGACTCCCACCTGGGGCCTTTGATAGGTCTGCCCGCACGTAGGTCCCACAGCCTTGCAATGTTGTACATCAGTCTCTGGGGTTTGGCTAATGCGAGTCAAGGTGAGGGGCGGCGCTCAGCCCAGGGCCCCAGCCCTAATGCACGAGGGAAGCAGAGTGGCCTGGGGCCCCCACCGTGACCCACCCAGGCTGCCCTGCCTCCACGTCCTCAGTGCGAGAGGAGAAAGACCAGCCGATGCTGGACAGTCAAAACTCAGCCGCGCATGCTCTGTGGGGGGCAGTGCTGGGAGGGCCCAGTCTCGGCACCTGTGGGATGGAGCCCTTGGGTGGGGACATGCTGGGAACCCAGGGAGGGGCCTGGGTGCCGTTGACTCTCAGGGTCATCCCCCAGCTTCCAGCGTCCACGGAGGGGCAGCCGCGGCTCGGGGAGGGAAAGCCTCCCTCCGCCCACCTGTGAGAGGGGATGGGGGCACCTCCCAGGGACCTTGGCCACACCCACCAGCAAGTCCGCAGCCTCAGGGGCAGGCACTGAGGTCATGCGCCCTCTGGGACCCAGCCTCCGGGATCCGAAGGGTCAAGGCGTCCCTGGGCGCGAGTGCCCGGGGCTGGCTTGTCGGGAGGGTGCTGGGGGTGAGGAAGGCGAACACGGCCCCCCGCCGCGACCCCGGGAGGTGAGTAAGAGGGCCGGGCCCCCGCCCCCCGACAGTTCCTTGTGCTGCTGCTAAGCACCCGGGAGGGCAGGTGCGGAGAGAACCCAGGAGCCAGGGCTGGGAGAAACAGGTGCGAATCACGGGCAGCCCGCGTCACAGCCGCTGAGCCGAGCACCTTCCCGGAGGCCCCGCACCCACCTCCGAGCAGGGGGCCTTGTCGCAAGGCACGCAGCCAGGCTTCTTCTGGAAAGCTGGATGCTGGGGAGAAGCTGCTTGCTTGGCCTGCAGCCCAGGGACGCTGCCTCACCGTGCGCACACAGGGCAGCCACCCTGCACCCTGTTGTTGAAAAACATCCTCCTCTGCGTCTCCTCCTCTTGGCCTCTTTGCTCCGGGTCAAGAAGCCACGTGACTCTCGATCACTCGTCCCGAGTTTGGTCACCCCGGGTGGTTTCCAGCTATCCCGGCACAGAAGCCAGCGAGAAGCCTGTGACCGCCCACCGACCTCTGCCCGGCCGGCAGTCAGGGCTGGCGCCACTGTGCAGCCCCAGGTTTCACACCACCTTGATCCCTGACGTTCACAGCTCCCCGGAGGCGCTCTGAAGGGCAGAGTACAGCCCTCAGCTGGGGTCCTTCCCAAGTGTCAGCATCCTGTCATCAGCTCGGGGAGCGTGGGCTTCTCCCTGGACTCTGGGACCCGTGGTGATGGGTGGAGGCGGCCACTTAGCCCTTGCCGGGGCCCTCCAACCAAACCCAGCCACTGCAGCTGCACCTACTTTGACCCTGAGCTTGGCCTGGGCTTCCTGCCTGTCGGTCTCCGGGGCATCAGAAGGGAGCAGCTGTGTGTGCCCAGTCTGCCCCTCACAAGTGTCAGGGTGTCCAAACGGGACAGGCCTGGTCAGCGCTGTCAGAAAGAGCCCACTGTCACACCATGATTATTGTTAGTTAGAGTCTTGGCTTAGTTTTGCCAGATCTCCGGTAGCTGCGAGACCGTGGGCCATATCCTTGGCCTCGCTGTGCCTCAGTTTCTTTACCTGTGAAATGGGATAATAGCACTTCCCAGGAGATAATATCCGGAGAGCACTGGAAGTCATGCTTTTGATGTTATATGTTGTCATTTGAGTGACTCCCACCCACCCTTTTTCTGTCTGTCTGCTGCATCTTATTCTGCCCAGGGGTCACTCTCTGGACTGTGGGTGAAGACTCCCGGGTCCTTCCCTGCTGTCCCCCTGCATGCCCACTCTGCACCTGGGCTGACTGATCCCTCCCATGCTGTTCTTGGCAGAGAAGCTGCCCCTGCTCCCAATTCTGTATATCGCCCATCCTGCCAGTCCCCTGGCCAGAGTTCCTCCTCCATGGGGCCGTTTCAGTGGCTGCCCTTGCTGACAGTCCCCTCCCACCTCTGGGCCCCCACACCATCTATCTGTCCACGCAGCACGCCACCCAATCGCATCACGGTCATGACACCATGATGTGATGCTCACGAAATCACATGTTCACTCACCGCTGACTGACTGTGAACCTTCCCCACGGGAGGGCCTGGGCACCTGCTGGTGGAACCAGGAAGGACAGGGAGGGAGCTGGGAGGGGGGAGGGGAGGGCAGGGGAAGGGGGCTTCCTGCTGGTCTCCCAGGTTGTGGGTGTGTGTGGGGTCCTGCTTGGAGCTAATCACACCCCGTAACTGGGCGCCCCTCATTCACACTCCGGAGCCAGACCTTCGGTGCAGGGCGGTTTGGTGGCTGCTCTGAAGCCACTCTGAGCCCGCAGGGACCTGCGTGTCCCTCAGGGTGGCCGGGGTGTCCATGGGGCCCCCGCGTTCTGTGCACGGCTCACCCTGTGCCCCCAGGTGCCTGATACTCATGTGGGGTCCTCTCTGTCTGGGCGTCGGAGAGACTGGTTGGTTATGTGGCTGGGAGGGAGCATGGTGCGTGAAAGATGCTTGCAGCCGTGGGGGCGCAGCTGGTGAGTGTCCCCTCCCCAGCAGGCGGACGCAGCTCCAGGGAGAGGCACCAAGCCATCCCTCCTCATGAAATGAATAAAACATACCTTCAGGGAGGTGGTGTTAGTGAGACGCCCAGGATGCCAGCCCAGCTGCGGGCTGCAATTACAGGCAGCGGGACGGTGGGCGTCCCGGAGACCCCAGGGTAGCTGCTCCCAGTGGGGGCCTTGACCAAGGCCCATCTTCCCCCAACCTCAGCCCAGCCCTCCTCCAGCCCTGGGGAGGGGCAGCTATCCGCTTCCTACAGGGTGGGCAGACCTGCCCCCACGGGTCCCTGCCCGCCGACATGCCCGCCCCAGGGACCCGTCTCTGTCTCTGCGCCTCCCTGCCTCTATCTCCCCATCTCTGCACCTCTGTCTCTATCTCTCCATCTCTCTCTATCTCCGTGTCTCTTTCATGTCCCCTCCTCTCTCCCCCGTCTCTGTCTCCCTCCTCTGTCCCGAGTCCGTGCCCTCCCTGGCCCCCAGGAGGACACTGCCTCCGGCTTAAGCTCCCAGCCCCCGCTGGTCCCTCGTAGAGGTTGCTGGTGGTCGGCTTGCCCCTCACACTCCTGTGGCTCTTGAGTCACGAGGGAGGGGCTCACTGTATTCCTGCCCAGCCAGGCCCCCGGCCAGACCTGTGCCTTCAGCTCAGCGGTCCTTTCCTCACCAGCATCAGAGAGGCCCGTCCATCCTCAGACGGGGGAGGGGGCCGTTCTTCTCTGCAGGGCAGCCCCCTGGGGTGCAGGGCCCTTTTAGGAGCCGCGGCCCCCAGAGCCGGGCCCAGTTCCTCCTGCTCGCCTGTGGTGGGCTCGTCAAGGATGCCCTGTCCAAGCTGCCCTGTTGCCCTTGCCCCGGCCCCCCCACGCGTGTGAAGCTGGGTGGCAACAAGCCCATCCGTGTCCCTGGGCCAGCTGGCCCCTTGACCCCTCTTTCCCAGCTGCCTCTGATGCCGGGCCCCCTGGGTGGTTCTGGGCTAGCGTGCACCCCGAACTGGGCGGCCCTGCCCCTCCAGGCTCCAGGAGCTCCAGGGGTGCTCACGGGCCTCACCTCTGTCTGCGGGTCGGCGCCCCAGCTGCTGCAGGCTCCGGGCTGTGGTCCTGGCCCCTGGGCCCCTTTGGATCTCGTGGTCACCGGCTCTGCCAGGCCCGCCTGCGAGCGTCCCCTGCTGGGCCCAGCCTGCAGCCCCCCTCCAACCAGAGCCCTCTCCTTCTGTCCTGGGGCTGCCCTTTTCCAAGGCTGGCACTTGGGAAAAGTGACCGGTCCTTTCAGGAGTGGACCCCCTACTCCTAGGTCCCGACTTTGCTCCCAGACCCCCTAGGGCCGGGCGCGGGACGCAGCAGCCCAGCAGGCCTGCCGCGGGGTCGGGGTCACAGGCGCTGGCAAGCAGGCCCCCTGCTGTGCGCCCCCAGAAGTGCTGGCCCAGCCTCTTTCCAGAGGTGAGCCCAGCACCCATGTCTGCGGTGCGTGTCAGCGCAGCCTCATCCCTGCGGCCTCTCTGGGATGGGGTCAGGCACACACACTCACACCACACACGTGCACACGGTCTACACACAGGCACATGTGCACGCACGCTCTTTACACACAACCACACACACGCACACACTTTACACACAGGGACACACACACAGAACACTCTTTACACACAGACACACGTGCACACACTTTACGGTCAAACACACACAGCACACCCTTTACGCACACACACACACACACCCTTTACGCACACTCACACACACGCACACACTTTACACACACACACAACACACCCTTTACGCACACTCACACACACACACACTTTACACACAGTCACACACACACACACACTTTACACACAGTCACACCACACACGTGCACACGGTCTACACACAGGCACATGTGCACGCACGCTCTTTACACACAACCACACACACGCACACACTTTACACACAGGGACACACACAGAGAACACTCTTTACACACAGACACACGTGCACACACTTTACGGTCACACACACACAGCACACCCTTTACGCACACTCACACACACACACCCTTTACGCACACTCACACACACACACACTTTACACACAGACACACGTGCACACACTTTACGGTCACACACACATAACACACCCTTTACGCACACTCACACACACACACACTTTACACACAGTCACACCCGCACACACAGCACACTCTTTACACATAATCACACATGTGCACATACTTCACATATAATCACACATGCACAGCACACTCTTTACACACATGCACACATGTGCACACATTTTACACACATCCACACTCACACACAGTCATGGGCTCACCTCTTCTAAGAACAAACAGCCATCTTCAGGAACACTGCAGATTAAATCCATATTTAGGAGAAATTTCCTAAAGAAAACATAATCAACAAAGATGCAATTCTGCCCAGGGAGACAGCCGTTTACCTCATTATGCAGAGCAATTTTGCTCCTCGCTGACGAGAGCATTTCTGCCACAGAGCATAATATTTGCTTTCCCTTCACATAAGCAAAAGGCCCATTACAGTGTTTTCCCAAGACAAAGAACCACATGTCCTTGAGAGGTGAAGCCACTGCCTCTAGGAAGTCATGAAACTGCTGGAGGCACCATCACTTCCAGCCTCCACAATTCAGGAGACATCAGGGTCTGGCCATGCCCACAGCCCTGCACCGTGAACCCCCAGCCAGCAGGACACCCAGAGTGAGTCTTGGCAATCGTGTCCATAGCTCCAGAACCATGGCAGCCATGGGGGAAAACATGTATCAGTGTTTGCAGAACAAGTGGATTTCATGATAGATTTCATGACAGCTTCCAGCTGAATCCTTGGGGTCTAAGGGAGGGTGAACCAAAGAACAAAGAGATGAAATGCTCTCCATGGCACAGTTTAGGAGAGACCATCAAGACAGCATCCACTATAAACAAGGACTGTCTAATGAAACTGAGTGTTCACCTACCTTACAGCTCAGGATTTCTGCCAGAAGACCTGGACAAGAATGTTCTAGGAGCTGTATGCACAAGAACCAAACACTGGACTCGGTCCAAGTATCCCCTAACAGACAGAGGGTGGATAACATCTGACGTTCCATCCGCTCAACAGAATTGCTGTTCAGTCTGTAACTCGTGTTCAACTCTCTGCGACCCCATGGACTGCAGCATGCCAGGCTTTCCCGTCCTTTGCTATCTCCCGAAGTTTGCTCAAATTCGTGTCTGTTGAGTCGGTGATACTATCTAACCATCTCATCCTCTGTCGTCCCATTCTCCTTTGCCGTCAGTCTTTCCCAGCATCAGTCTTTTCCAATAAGTCAACTCTTCGCATCAGGTGACCAAAGTATTGGAGCTTTAGTTTTGGAATCAGTCTTTGCAATGAACACTCAGGACTGATCTCTTTTAGGATGGACTGGCTGGATCTCCTTGCAGTCCAAGGGACTCTCAAGAGTCCTCTAGGACCACAATTCGAAAGCATTAACTCAGTGCTCAGTCTTCTTTATGGTCCAACTCTGTACATGACCACTGGAAAAACCATAGTTTTGATTGTACAGTCCTTTGTTGGTAGTGATGTCTCTGTTTTTTAATGAGCTGTCTATATTTGTCATAGCTTTCCTTCCAAGGAGTAAGTGTTTTTAAATTTCAAGGCTACAGTCACCACTCACAGTGATTTTGGAGGTTAAGAAAAATCTGTCACTTCTTCCACTGTTTCCCCTTCTATCTGCCATGAAGTGACGGGACCAGATGCCATGATCTTAGTTTTCTGAATATTGAGTTGCAAGTCAGCTTTTTCACTCTCATTTTCATCAAGAGGCTCTTTAGTTCCTTCTCGCTTTCTGCCATTAGAGTGGTATCATCTGCATATCTGAGGTTATTGATATTTCTCCTGGCAATCTTGATTCCAGCTTGTGCTTCATCCAGCCCGGCATTCTGCAAATACGCTAAATAAGCAGGGTGACAGTATATACCCTTGTCACTGTTTTTTCTTAATCTTGAACCAGTCAGCTGTTCCATGTCCAGTTCTAACTGTCGCTTCTTGACCTGCCTGTCTCTCAGGAGACAGGTAAACTGGTCTAGGGTTCCCATCTCTTTAAAAATTTTCCAGTTTGTTGTGATCTACACAGTTAAATGCTTTAGCTGGGTCAATCCAAGACCCAGTCAATGTTGGATATTTAATCTCTGGTTCGTCTGCCTTTTCTAAACCCAGCTTGTACATCTGGAGGGCCTCAGTTCACATACTGCTGAAGTCTAGCTTGAAGGCTTTTGAGCATTACCTTGCTAGCATGTGAAATGAGCACAGTTGTACAGTAGCTTGAACATTCTTTGTCACCACCTTTCTTTGAAATTGGAATGAAAACTGACCTTTTCCATCCTGCGGACACGGCTTAGTTTCCCAAATTTGCTGACATGTTGAGTGCAGCACTTTAACAACACTATCTTTTAGGATTTTAAATAGCTCAGCTGGAATTCCATCACCCCCACCAACTATGCTTGTAGTGATGCCTCCTAAGGCCCACTTGACTTCGCATTTCAGGATGTCTGGCTCTAGGTGAGTGATCACACCATTGTGGTTATCTGGGTCATGAAGATTTTTTTGTATAGTGCTTCTGTGTATTCTTGCCACCTCTTCTTAATATCTTCTGCTTCTGTTAGGTCCTTACCCTTTTGATCCTTTATTGTGCCATCCTCGAGTGAAATGTTCCCTTGAGATCTCCAATTTTCTTGAAGAGATCTCTAGTCTTTCCCATTCTATAGTTTTCCTCTATTCTTTTGCATTGATCATTGAAGAAGGCCTTCTTTTCTCACCGTGCTAGTCTCTGGAACTCTCCATTCAGTTAGGTATATCTTCCCCTTTCTCCTTTGTCTTTCACTTCTGTTCTTTTCCCAGATATTTGTAAGGCTTTCTCAGGCAACCATTCTGCCTTCTTATATTTCTTCTTTGGGATGGTTTTGGTCCCTGTTTCCTGTACAATGTTATGAACCTCTGTCCGTAGTTCTAAATGGAATACTATTCAGCAATGAAAAAGAACAGACTGCCCATACACTCAAAAACATGAGAAAATCTCTTAAACATTGAGCCCAGTGAAAGGAGCCTTGTGTGAAAAACACACACTGTGTGATCCTACTGAAGCTCCAGAACAGGTAAAACAGATCAACAATGGAGAAATCAGAGACATGGTTGATTCCTGGGCTACAGTGTAGTTTGACAAAGAGGAAAGGGCTGGAGAGAACTTTCTAGGGGGTGGCTACACTCTGCATCATTAAATAGGTGTTTGGGTTATACAGGTACAAGTATTTGTTGAGACTCATCAAGTGATATCTTGTGGGATGCAGGTAAGGCAGTACTCAGAGGCAAATGTATAGCTACAAACACCACATTAAAAAAGAAGAAAGGTCTCAAATCAGTAACCCAAATTTACATCTTAAGGGGCAAGAAAAAAGAAGAGTAAACTGAACCTGGAGCTAGCAGAAGGAAGGAAACAAAGACTGGAGCAGAGAGACGTGAAATGGGGAACAGCGAAGCAATAGAGGACAAAACATAAAGCTGATCTCTGAAAAGATAAACAAACTTGACAAGCATTTAGCCAGAATGACCAAGAAACAAAAGAGATTTATTCATCTCACTGTCTGCAGAACTTGAAAAAAAAATCCATAATCAATTCTTGAACTCTAATTAATGATAATCATGTAAAAATATTTGAGGAAAGGGGTGAATGCATTGTTATGAGTGCATTCTCAGTCATGTCTGACACTTTGCAACCCCATGGACTGTAGCCTACCAGGCTCTTCTGTCCATGGGATTATCCAGGCAAGAATACTGGAGTGGGTTGATATTTCCTCCTCCCGGGGATCTTCTGGACCCAGGGATCAAACCCGTGTCTCCTGTGGCTCCTGATTGGCAGGTGGATTCTTTACCACCTGGGAAATGCAGAAAATAAAAGATCGATTGGCAATGGATAGGCAGATGGACAGATGTGTTGACATGTGATAATGTAATAATAAACATCAATAGCCTAGGTGATGAGTTTAAGGTTGCTTGTCAAATGCTTTCAATTTCTCACTGAATTTGAAAACCTTCACAATAAAATATTTGAAGAAATGACCATCCATGTGTCACCCACCTGTTGCACCATCCTAGCTTTATAACGTGCCTCCTGCAATGGAAAGACCTGGATGACACAAATTTGCTCCTCCAGAGCCACACTGAGCACCTACAGGTGTGCCCCAGACCCTGCGTGGAGGCTTGTACACATCAGCAAATGA